TAAAAATGAGTATGGTCTTGCACTTATAAGAAAATGAATTTGAAGGTAAAATTGGTTGATTTGTCTCTATTGCATGCGTGCAAGATATACATTGAGGCCTAATTCAGATTGAGTTTTGAAAGAAAAAAAAACTACTCTAACATATCTTTGATTGTTATAACTCTTTGTTAATTCTCTATTTTGTTTTTTTAGCCCGCTTGTTTTTGCAAAATTTTCAAACTTCCAATCACAAGTATATGTATTTTTAAGAGTGTTGTGAAGCTTTGGAGGACGACTTGGTCACAACAATTTGCATCTTGATCAGACTAAAATGACTTTTAAGACTACAACATGTATTACCAAAATTGTTACTATTGTTTTGTTTCTATTATTAAGTTTCAATAATGTTATAATTTTTCTGACAAATAGATGTCTAACATGTATTTGTATATAAACTTTTAACACCTATCTCATTTAATTACTTAAGTGAATTGACATGGATGGCCCTTTGAGGAAAAGTATTCCTCCAATTCTATTTTAGTCATAGTTCAATTTTTTTATTCTCAATTGATTTATTTCTTTAACTAAACTCAGTCATGGTACAGTGATGAGACTGCTTCACCCTTAACCAGAGGTCTCGGGTTCGAGCCATGGGTTAAGGTGGGCACCAGACGGGGTTGTACCGGTACCGGACCAGTACCATTTCGATCCAGTCTGGTTCGGTAGTCTACGGAATGGAATGGGACACCATGAACTGGTACTCGGGACGGAACGGAATCACATTTTCATCCTAGTAATTTCGGTCCGGTTGATCTCGATATATTCCGGTTCCATTCTGGTTCGGTTATCCATGAATTATATTTTATTAATTAATTTATATTTTATAATTTATATATAGGCATATTTTTTTTAAAAATATGGATTGGATTGATATTTTTTTAATTTGTGTCATTGTTTTATCCTTATTTTTATTTAATTTTTTAAAATTACAAACTTAAGTTATTTAAATTACAAGTTATAAGTATAACTTATAACATATTAATAAGTAATAACTTATAAACTTCAAAATTTCAAATCTTGAAAACTTAAGTTCAAAAAACTTTAAAACAAAAAAACTTTATTAAACTTAAACTTATAAATTTAAAAAGTAAAATTTTTAAAAAATATCTTTAAAATAAACTTAAGTAAAATTACATTATAAATTTCAAAACAACTAATTTAAACTTAGAAAAATATATAAACATTCATATTTTCGTAATTCAAAAAATCAAAATAACTAAAAAAAATAGTATTATTTTTTGAAATAGCTATATGTGTCGTCCCGTTTATCCCATCCCGTTCCATTCCGGTACCGGTCCGGTTCCATCCCAGTATATAGTGGGACGGGACGGAACCTACTATCCATCCCGGTAATTCCGGTCCGGTTCATCCCGGTACCGGTCAACAAACCGATCAACCCGTTCCGTTCCGGTCTGGTACCAATTCGTTCCGGTCCGATGGTTCCGGTCTAGTCCGGTGCCCAACCTTACCCTAGATATAGGCAAAATCCTGTTGAGAGCCCGAATACCGAGTGGGAAACCAAAAACAAAAAAAAACTAAACTCAGTTGGGTAAATTTTCCTTCTGAAAGGGCATTTTTCCTATTGGGCCCTAAATGTCCAATGGGCCTATTCTGTCAGAGCCTGTAGGCCCATCTTGTTCTGATGCCCATTTTTTGGCCACCCCGTGGATCGGAATGATAGTCCATCTAAAACTTGCAAGGGTCATTTTCACTTTTGTCCTTATTTTGTTGGATTAATTACAGAAATCCCACCTTTTAATTTACTTATTACCATTATCTCCTATAAGTTTTACAAATCTTCAAAATCCCTCATTTTCACGCATCAAATTAGTGTATTTCGTGCATCAGATTAATGTATCAGCGCATCAGATTAGTGTATCTCGCGCATCAGATTAGTGTATACATCATATTAGTGTATCATGTATAAAATGTAATGTATCTTACCTAACGATTAATGTATCTCGCGCATCAGATTAATGTATCAATGCTTATATTATTGTATCCGTTTGAGGGATTTCTAATATTATAAACTTTTAAGGGATAGATTGTAATTTTACCTTAAAAGTATGTGATTTTTGTAATTTGTCCTTTTTTTTGTTCATCTTTAATTTATGTTCTTCGTAACTAAAAAGAAGTCACAAGGTGTATATTTATATTTTTATATTTCATACGTTATGTTCAAATATGAATTTTGTTTCTAAAGAACTTATATCCCATTAGGTTAGGGGTGTACATGACCAGGTTGGTTCAGGTTTTTCAAATATCAAATCAAACCATTTGTGTCGGATTTTTAAATCTATAAACCAAACTAATAAAACTCGAGTTTTTCAACCTCGGGTTTTTTTGGATTTTCGGGTTTTTTCGGGTTTTCCCGGTAAAGTATTCATACAAACATATAATTTACTTGTACTTCAAATATTTCTTTAGTCCTATCAAAATACAATTATCTAAGGTGTTTTTGAAGAAAATAACACAAAATATGATGAGTAATGACACTAAAATATCCAACAAAAAAAAATAATAATAATGAAATCGCGTAAAACAAATATTGCAAATTAACAAGTCATAATGAAAATGGTCATAATTTAAAAGTACTAAATCATGCTAAAATAAGTTTAATATGTATTAGTTACATGACTAAATATTAAAGGAAATTAAAATTAGATTATGTATTTGAATTGTCTAAACCAATGTAAAACCAAAGAACAAATATTTAATATTATTGTCATTCTTAGTGTTGAATTGATTTTTCTTTTTCTTTTTGCATTAGTATTAATTTGATTTTGATTTAAGTTTTATTATAATTACCAACATCTGTGGACTATAATATTTATTGAACCATTCAGAATTCTAAGATTCAACTTGAAATAATATATTAAAAGATTAAAACTATGAAAAAGTATAAGAAAAATTTTAAAATTATATCAAAGTAAATATTTTTATGTATATTATAAAATTTTAAAATTATATATATAATCTCGGGTTGATTTTTTTTAGTTAAAACCAAATCAACCCAAATATAGTCGGATTTTGTTTTTCAATACCAAATCAAGTCAAACCAACCACTAATAGGGTTTTTTTTCTCGATTTGCGGTTTGATTCGGTTTGGTTTTGTACACCCCTAAGGTGTAAATTGATTGCTAAGGAAAAAATAAATGAAAAAACAATCATTTTTAGGACAAAAATTATAGATTAGTTCATTTTAAGGCAAAACGTACAATTTCGTCAAATTGCAAGGGAGTAATAGACTGAGCTCGACTACAAATTTACGCTTTATGTATCTATCTATCTCAATATATATATTTATTGAAGTGATAAGGGGGGAATGATATATAGTTCGTTCAGTCTATCCAGCAAAAGCTTCTAGCCGAATACTTCTATACTCTCCTACCAATAACATGTCTCTGGCCTAAATAGAGGCAAAAGACCTATCCAAGATCAACATTATGATTATAAGGATCATAATAGTTCTTGAACTAATAGAAGATGAATTGGGACGAAGCATACTACAACAGAAGAATACTATTTCATGATCAACATTATGATTATAAGGATCATAATAGTTCTTGAACCAACAGAAGATGAATTGGGACGAAGCATACTACAACAGAAGAATACTATTTCATGATTTGATTGACTTCAGACGGGACCACTCAATAAACTAGTAAACGTGCCCGCGCGATACGCTGATAATATTGAAGTATTATTTCTAAACACTTTAAATTGTGATGTTTTGTTAAGACATGTTAAATGTTATTACCTTAAAAAAAGTCCAACCACCATATTGTTCCTCAATAAAATATACTCTTATCCCACATCCCGCCTCACCCAACCCCAAATCACCCATAATAATCTATACAAATAGAGACAACGAATCATGTTTTAAATTCGCCCTGAATAAGATCATATTCACACACATAACTTTAGCCTCATAAATTTTTGTAAAACTAACTATTTAGACAGAATGTCTGATTCTATTCACTTTAGAATGTGAGGTCCCAACTCCCCATGAAGGATTATCCTTCTCTTTAATTTCTGAACCACTAATTTTATAATATATGTCACATAACTTTTCATTTTCACAAAATATTATATCCACCCCCCCGGCCCCCCCTCTTTTTAGTGCGTAGGGGAAGGTTTTGATGGGTAGGGGGGGGGGGGGGTTAGAAAAAGTTACATTTGATTTGGTCCCTCACAAAATTGAGAATATTTGTCTAAAGCACCCAAGACTGGCCTTTTTTCTCAAATTAATTAATTCATCACTTATAGTTTTAATCATTTATCTTGGGAGTAACATATTATATCCTATGTATTATTTTATTGTATTGGTTTCCTCGCTAAATAGAATATTCAGAAAAGTAGTAAACTTAACTTTAATTTTAAGATGCACATAATACCAGCATAATATATGAGCCATGTAAAATTACATGCAAAATATTATTTCTATTGGATTGTATTATGAATGTTGTAGGTAATTAGATTTAGAAAAATTATCTAAAGACACATTTTTAGTTTAATACAATAAAATTCGATTTTTTTTTTTTTACTTTCTTGAATTCTGTATCAAGACAAAATTAGATAAACAAATTGAAACAAGGAGAGTATCCAATCATTGTATGATCATTGTCACACTATCATTCGTTGCATAACAATTCCTGCGTTATTAATCAGTGCATAAATATTTTTCTCCATGACTATAATTTTTTTCGTAAATATGAACCAAACGACTCTTAATAATTAGCAAGGTAAGATGAGTGTTAATTCAAGAAGTTAAATAATTAAGAAGCTTAAAGACTAAGTAAGCAAAGATCCTCTTGAATTCTTAAAAAGCAAAATAAACAAAACAAAAATAGACAAGTGAGAAATAAACCAAGTACCTAATTGTATAAATGTACATAATAAATGCAATAGTATATTATAAAGTCCTTTATCCACTTTATTCAACCTCCTTACTCCTTATATATATTCTCAATTCTCTTTAGCTTTATTCTCTCTTGCTTTCTCCCTTTCTTTCTTTCTTCCTCCATTTTGATGTGATATTCTCCACTAACAATATCCCATTCCAAACTTTTACAAAAGTGAATTTTACATTATTCAAGAAATTAAACTATGGTTTTTTCCTCTATTTCTGCTTATCTTGATCCATCCAACTGGCAACAGGTATGTTTTTTTTTTCTAACAATAATATGATGATTCTAAATTCTAATGTCAATAGCTAGCTTCTTGAACAAAAAAAAGTAAAGAATTCATAAAAAGATAAATATTCTTATTCAACTTTTATTTGTATTTTAACTTCTTTAAATTATTTTTCGCATATACTAAACAATTTTTTTAATTCATTTTTCAGCAAGTTGGATATAGCATCCCAAATCCTCAACTTCTATCAGGACAATCACAACCAACACCACCGCTGCCACTAGCGAGTACTACTCCTCCACCACCACCGCCGCCACCTCCACCTCAGCCTCATCATGTGGGTGGTGGTGGAGGTTCAATCAGACCAGGCTCGATGGCAGATCGAGCCCGGTTAGCAAACATACCAATGTCAGAGGCAACTCAAAAATGCCCTCGTTGTGAGTCAACAAACACAAAGTTTTGCTACTTCAACAACTACAGCCTCTCCCAACCTCGTCACTTCTGCAAGACCTGCAGAAGGTATTGGACGAGAGGGGGCGCTCTAAGGAGCGTCCCCGTGGGTGGAGGCTGTCGTAGGAACAAAAGAAGTAGCACTAGTAGCAGTAGTACTACTACTATTACTAGTGCTAAATCCAGCAATAATAATAATACTTCCAAATCTCAAGCTACTAATTCTGGTTCCACAAGCAATAACAATAGTACTTTTTCTAGTCCATCATCAGCAGCTAGTTTATTAGGTCTTATGAACCCTCCAATTCACCCTCTACGTTTCATGTCCCCGTTAGGACAATTGACTGATCAACACTTCACCCCAAACGAAATGAATTACACATCAATTTCTTCATCATCACCAGCTCCAATCGTCATGGGAACAAATGAAAACATGAATTTTCAGCTTGGAATGGGTAGCAACTTAGAGCAATGGAGGCTACATCAACAACTAGTGAACCAATTCCCTTATAATTTATACGGGGGATTGGATTCATCTCCTGCTTCTGGTTCTGGCTCTGCCTCTGCCTCTGGGCTTTACCCTTTCCACCAGGCTCATTACACATGTAATGACGCGGGTGGAGGTGGTGTCATAAGTCAAATAAGGCCCAAAGTTTCGAACCCTATGTTGACTCAGCTGGCATTGATGAAAATGGAAGACCACCAAGATCATGTTGCAAGTATGCCACGTCAGTTTTTAGGAAACGAAAACTGGCTGAGTAATGGTGGTAATGCTAATTGGAATGAGCTTTCCGCGAGTTTTAGCTCTTCTTCCACTAGTAATAATGTACTATAATTACTAGTAGATAAATTTTTAGAAAAAGAGCCAAAATAGTCGCGGATCGATGATGAGTTAACACTATCTTGCTTTTAGTCTTGTATTTCACCTTCTTTTCCTATGTCGATGTTAGTCATTTGGAAGCTGACAATTTTGTCAGCAATAGTTTGTACTGTAGAAGGAATTCATATGTTAGGAAGAAAAATTGTCTCTAAACCCTAGAATCTCTAGGTTTCTTTTTTAGTTTTTTTTGGGCTTATCTTACCATTTATTTTGTAGTTTGCTTTGTTATAATTTATGCTGAATATGTTTTGGAGAATGGATGTACTTTTTTGTAGTTATTTGTAGTAGGTTTATAGTATTAGACATGAAATCTAAATTTTAATTTCTGAGTAGTTATCTATGATAAGTCGTAATATTGATACATAATGTCGTCTTAACTAATTTTCGTTCATCGATCTTATAACCCTAAAATTTCTTATGTTTTAATTCTGAATGAGATATTCCTAGTGTTAAATACTTTAGTTATTGAATGCTAATGCTCCAACATTCCACTAACTTGATTAAATCAAATAGTCATAAACTGATCCATGAAATAATACAAAAGATATCCCCCTTAATGCATGTATTGAAATGCATTTATCCAGCAAATACAACTTTTGTTTATATGTTTTGCTATTTTGTTGCTGTTATTTTTCTTTGAATCCTGCTTTGATTACATTTTCTATATACACTTGTTTATTTTGTCCGTAAATATTCTTACGTAGATTTAAGATCGTTTTCATCAACCTTAAAACAATTTTTTTGTTTGATTTTTCATTCTATTTCTAATATCGCTACTTTAAGATTTGATTAATTTTTGAAAAATTGACTTTAGAAGGGTAAAATATTACTCCCTATCAAATACCAAAGACAACTTATATTCAGAATTTGAGATTTGATACCTCTTGTCAATTAAGGAAGAAGGGGCAACTAACGCCCAATCACAATCTTTTATGGTGGTGAATATCTTTGTTATTATTAATGACTCGTATTCTTTTATACTCCTTCTATTTCAATTAATTTAGCAATAGTATTAGTAATAATTATTAATTAGGGAGGAAAGATGTTCTTTTTGAAATATTTCTAATTATTAATAACTATTATACTTCCTCCGTAGTCCGTCTTAACAATAGTTATTCACTATACTATTTTAGGTTATCTAACAATACTTATAATATAAACATAATACTTCTTATTATATAATTTTTTAATATGTAAATTTTTATTTAAAAAAACATTGAGAATCTACGTAAGTTTTTTACCAAATCCATTTACTCGTGGTTTGTTTGGTTGGGAATAACTTATTCAAAAATTAATTATTTTGAAATTAATTGTCACAGCCGTAGGGGTGTTCACGGTTTGGATAAAAACCGATCCAAACCGAAAAACCAAACCAAACCGATAAATTAAAACCGATTTTATTTGGGCTTGGTTTTGTTTGATTTTAGATTTTTGAAAACCGATAGTATTTGGTTTGGTTATGGCTTTATTCAAAAAAACGAAGAAATAACTGAACCGAACCGATGAATTATATACATACTTAATATATTGTTTTTATAAACAATTTTAAAGATCTTATATATGTTTCCATTAAAATTTCTTTAAACTTTACTTATTGAAAGCAAGAATGCCCAAGGTGAAAACATTTTTCTTAATGCTTTCATGTATATGAGTGTCTATGACAATTCTTTATAGGACTGAAAATGTTAGTCTCTTCCTTCTAGGTCAATATAGTGAATTTTAAAGTTTTATTGATAGTAAATTCAATGATCGAAAGTTTGGTAATTTAAGTCATTCTAACTATTATTTGTTTTTGAATGGATTGTTCTCACTTTTTCACATTTGTTTCTTTTATTTTTGTGTATGGTTAATTACCGAATAACCAAACCGAAACCGATAACCACCAAATCGATAAATGTATACTATATTTGGTTTGGTTTGGTTTGATAATTTTAAAATCAATTAAATTGATTTGATTTTAATTTTAACCAATAACCGATCTAAACCGACCCGTGAACACCCACAAATTTTGTTCCAACCAAATATGAAATAAATTTATACTTAAAAATAATTTCAAATTAATTATCCCTTATTTCTCGTACAAGTGCTTAGATCCTTATCCTTTTCCACACAAGTGACACGGAGGCAGTACGACATTAGCAGCCTAGCTAGTACTTGAAAAATTCCAATTTGTTAGTTTTGTCTAATTCTAGGAATTATTCTTAGTAAATCTAGCTTAGATCTAGAGGGTATATAATATTCATTTTCCCAAGAAACTAGAGTCATGTTCCCAATGCTTGATTCTACTAATTGCAATAATTTCAACAATGATTTCTTAAACAATTTTGTACTAATCATGATTCTATAATGATAAATTTGATCATATAATTGGTACTACTTCCTCCCTCCAATTTTACTTGTATTGTGTATAGGAAAAATTCTTTTGTCTAGAAAATTTGGTCAGACTGAAAATATCGCCAAAGACTTTAACAACTCTAGATAACATGTAACTAACTCAATTGTCGCTAAAGTTTTTTGCTATAACAAATATATATTGTCGGTCAAAGGAAAATTAATTGTCACTGAATCTCTCTTTTATTGTAGTGCTACTTTCTCATTTTATACTACTACTACTAATCATGAGAAGTGACCAATAAGGGTTGTGACACAATAGTAAATACTCTTTCATCTTTAACCAAAACGTTTTAGATTTGAGTCCCTTTAAGTACAAAGTCATTTTTATACTCAATGTAAATCTTTCTACTAATCGAGCTTTCATATAAATATCGAGCATCGACAAGAAATCAATAAAAAAAATATGAGAAGCGAAGGGAGCGAGTTATGCACACAGTACCACCCACACATACAAGAATTTGGGGACAACATTCTTAAAAGACACCAAAATATGCCCACCCTGTTACATTCCCAAACTCCGAGGTTTCTGTGTTTACTGTACTTTAACACCTCACCCAAAATAATTCTGGGATTCCGTGCCCAATTGCCCCAACAATCACGCTAACGATTTGATAGTTTCTCCTGTAACACACTCACTCCAACTTTTATGATATAATTAGGACTGCTTCATCCTTAATTACGAATTTAAATTTTTGGTGTAAAAAAATCTTGTTGAAGAGCGTCATTTTCGAATATGCGATCCAACATCAAACGAAAAATAAAATAAAAAAACTTTATGATATAACACACTCTAGTATGATAAATTAATTTTCATAAGAATTTGACTATTATAATAAAATATTATTATAAAAGATGATTATTAAAGAAAAATGTAACTATATAATTGATAAAATCATATAACTAATGTATAATCTCTCTGTATATATATATATATTAGAAATTATAAACATTGAATATGAAGACTGTCGAAAAAATGCCTCAACAGGTCGCAATCACTAGTCTTAAGTCTCAACTTTTTTTATATGTTAAATGATCAGAAAATTTGGTCAGAAATTTAAAAAGTCTATAATATTTTTTTAATTTTAAAATAAATGATTTTTTTTAATTTTTTAATTAAAAGTATTAAAGTTAAAATGGTAAAAATATTTTAAAAAATAAAATAACATAACGTGAAATATATTATTTTACCATTATGACCAAATTCTGACCAAATTTTCTAGTCAAAAAGATTTTTCCAAATTATAAATAAGGATGAGGTAAGCAGTCAAATAAAACAAGACTGAAACGTGCATGACAGAGTGGTAGGATTGTGTTGTTTCTGATTTGTTGGCACGAAATTCGAGAAGAACAGTCTTTAAATTCTTCTTCTTCTTCTTCTTCTGGCTTAGAGATCCTTCTTTCTTGATTTTGATGAATCTGCCTGACTAACTTGCCATATGGGCACTGCATTATATTGTTGCTTTTTGTATGTATTCTTCATGCTTCTGACAAAGAAAATATATCATGTTTTCAGTCTGGTCCACACACCAAATATATATATATAGTCAAACTTGATCAATTGTTTATTGAGAAAAATTTAGAAATACCAAATCTAATAATATAATAAAGTTTTATAGTTATAGTTTTGATAATTGTGTTTTATAACTATAATTTAGTTTGCTATGGAGGGTGTGGTTTGTGTATTTCTATTCGTTTGTATATTTTGCTTGCAAATATACAAATATGATAAATATATATAAATTCTGTATTTATATATTTACGAATTTTTCAGAACTTCATTTGCATATTTCGCTTGCCAATATATTAACAGAGTAATTTATTATGAATTATTCATAAATTGTATCAAATAACTAGGGTAAACATATACAAAATTCTAGATTTATACTATCAGGTACCAAATTATACAAATCAGGCGAATTATACAAATCAAGCGAATACCAATAATTAAGAAAATTATAGCTACAAATTACAACTTTCTTAAACTACAACTATAGTACCTAATATAAATTAAATATATTCTATTCTGCATGTTTTTCCCTCGAATATTTACCTTAACACAAAAATTATTAAAGAGAATCCATGGTGCACATTTAACTAATTTATTCTTTAATTTGCTTTTTTTAATATATATTTGATATAATTAATTAACAGGTTTCTTATTGGGGCAAGAGACCAACGTCATGCACCCATGTTTGTGCAAATGCTTGAAACCTAATTTATGCATGTGATCAACAAATTAAAAGATTTTGACACTAACAAAAATAACCTTTAACAGTAGCAAATATAAATATTACTAATAAAGAGTGTTTAACTCTTTATCGATATTAGTTATTTATCATTGGAATCAATATCATTATAGGCTTTAGGGACATTCACAAATAATAATTACCACTAAAACCTTTTTGGTATAGTGTGAGTCTCTCCTTTTAGCAGGAGGATCGAAAAGACTTTTATTTGCTTAACTATATTTTCAATACGTTTTTTTTTTTGTTTTATCATGAGTTTGATTTGTTTCTCATGGGAAAAGTATAAATAGCATGAAATTCAATTTCTGAAATTTAATAACAAATTAAAGTATGCGATATTTTCATCTAAAAAACTTAAGTTATTTTGGAATAGAATATTAAAAAGTAATACTAAGAATGATACATATATTGGGGTAGAGGAATACTTAGTATATATTTTTCATTCAATCGAAAGTCATCGAAAACATAATTTCTAGTACTCCACAAAGAATGAAATAAGATATACATGTTGTAAATCATTTTGGTGGTTAAATGGATGATCATAGCTCCTTGATTAATTTCCTTCTTTATAAGTAGTAATGTTTTTGATAATGTGGTCAAATGGATGACCATAACCTGTAGGTTTATTTCCTCCTTAATGTGTAGTAATTCACAAGATTTAATGTAATGTTTATGACAATTGACACCGTATTCCTCAATGTAATCCTATAAATAGTGGTGTTGAGAATAATGTTGAATACACTTGCAAAAAAAGAAAATTATCTTATATTGTTCCTCTTGTCTTCCTCTTTATATTGTTCTTTTGTTCTTAAGTTTTACAACAATACATCATTAGTTGCAATTTTACGTCTTTAATTTTCGTAAATAATACTCACATACAGGGCCGGAGGTAGCATATACTTAGGGGGTTCATCCGAACCCCCTTCGGCGGAAAATATTACTATTTATACATGGTTAAAATTATTTTTTAGATATTTATAATATATGTCAAACCCCCTTTCACTAGTTCGTGTGTTTACTTCTCAGATTTTGAACCCCCTTATTAAAAATTCTGGCTCCGCCACGGCTCACATAAGTTATATATGTGAATAGAATATATATTAATTTCGGGGGAATTAACAATGTACGCATCATAACACACGATGACAGTACTCTAAAATAGTACTCCCAATTAACGGAGTCCTAATATAAGTATGTAACAAATCCCAATATAACTCCAAACTAAGTTTGTAAGTTCATAAAAATAAAAAATATGACTAGTAAAATTAATGAGAAAAAAATAAGTAGTTTTAACATTTGAATCAATCATTTTGATGGAAATTTTCTAATTTGATGTACGAAATATTCCCTAAACATGCATACAGACAAAGAAAAGTAACACATTTTTTAATTTGATGTGCGGTTTTTTTTTCTATTTTAATCTTAACATTAATTATTTATTCTTAAAATCTAAAATCATGCATCAATTAATATGTGTATTGTGGTGAATTGCTCATTTTAAGTACTTGTATTATTTTTTAAGAGCTTTCAAAATTCAAAATGGATAAATATACATGAACGGAGACAATAATATAAATAAAGAGAGATTAAGATAAATGTAAAAAAAAAAAATTCAACAAAATAGTTGCGTGTACATGCAATGCATATATCGATATTATACTAATAGTTATGTATGCATGTATCAATATTGTATAATCATGTATATATGATGCATAACTATGTATTAGAAATGTGTGTGTATATATATAATTATATATCAAAGATATATATATACACATTGTTTATACAAAACATTCGCATATAGTCACTCAAAAATAGCCTAATTACTCTCCATAGCTATAGTTTGATAATTACAATTCGTAGCTACATGTTATAGGGAGGACAGAGGCGAGCGAGAGAGGGCAAAGAGTGGGAGAGAGGTGAATTGTATATGTATATCGGTTAGATAATTGTATATTATACATATGCATTTGTATATATGGCAAGCGAGATTAGGAAAGGGAGGAGAGAGGCGAGCGAGATTGGGTGAGGGAGGAGAGAGGAGAGCAAGACTGGGAGAGGGAGGAGAGAGAGGAGTGAGAGAGGACAATAATTTGTATAATTCGCATCTCGTTTGTATAATTCACAGGTACGTTTGTATAATTCACGGGTTTTTGTATAATTGAGTAATATAAAGTCTGGAATTATACAAATATAATAAAACTCGAAATAACAAATTGATACAAACATAAATAAATGAACTTTAAATAATTATACAAAATATATCATACAAATTACATTATATAAATCATATTATACAAAATCCAAAAACTACACGTTTAAACAAACTTTAAAAGGTATACACAAAAAGATTGAATGTATATGATGACAAAATTGAAAAATCAAAGGAAATCATCGTCATATACAAATATAAACAATCATATACAAATACAAATCAAACAAAAAATTGTTAGCTGTGAATTATACAAATGTGGTGAATTATACAAATACAAACGTGACTAATTATACAAACTCAAGTCAGTCCACGTAATTAATGTATAATGTTAGTCGTGAGTGGTAATTAAGCAAACTATAGCTATGATGAGTAATTAAGTACTATAAGTTTGCTTAACCACATAATTTTTCCTATTTTTTTATACCTATTTTATTCAATTCTAACTAACTTAAATTTCTTCTACATAATTCCAATTAATATATGAGCTCCTCTCAATAATTTGAATCTTTCAATATAATACATTATTTATGTAAAATGATTCACATTTACAACACATCAAATTTTAAAATTTGAGTTTGAATCTCTTCAATAACAAATTAATATAATTATTATTGCGACGTTTTAAGTTTCGACTGAAAGACCAAAACATTAAAATAAATAGGAGTACCATGTAACCACCCAAAATTAAAAGTTGTAAAAGTAAATATTCCAAAGCTTTCACATAAATAAGCACTTGCTTCATTTTTGTTCTGCAGAATTAATACAAGAGTCGTCTTTGTTAGGAAATATTTTATTCTTATTATTGGACTTTCAGCTCGAATCAAGATTTAGTTGAACTTCAAAGGCTCCAATATAATTATCGGACACCAAATAAGAAAATCAAAAAAATATAATATATCAAACATCTATAAAATGTACGTGAAATATGATAAAATATCTTAATAGATGTGTCAAGTCCATATACAACAACTAATAGTTTTTATTAAGTAAAAATGAACCAAGAAGTTTATTCTATAGTTGTTTTTATTAAGTAAAAATGAACCAAGAAGTTTATTCTATAAAAATATGATAAATAGATTGAAATTTTCATTTTAATAAAATATAATAAAGAAGTTATTTAAATTAATAGATAAAAAAATATCAATGTGATATTTTTGGTTATAAAATAAAGTTTGACTATTCTAAGTTGAGTTTATCTCTAAATAAAATTTGAAAAATCATTAAAACTTACATTTTTCCGTTGATGTCTTTTGAGAGAAAAGAAATATTTCTGCAATTGAGATTTTTGCATACATTTTTTAATATTTTAAAATTATCAATTTTATTTTGACTTTATTTCCAAAAATAAATAAATTCCAATCTCCTCTTCACTGAAAAATGAGCTCATTTGAATTAGGGAACATAGGCAGATTGAAGTAAAGCACGCCGGCGACAACTTGGGTAATTTTCTTCACTTTCCAATGCTTAATATTTTGTGTTTCTTATGAATTAGTAACTTCTTTATGTATTTTGTAAATTTTTATTTAAATTTGGGGATTTGCTTTGAATTGTTTTGTTGATATTAAACTACTCGTAATTTTGGGATTATGCTTAACAATAAGCTTCGGTTTGACCATAGATTTCAAAATTGAAACTTGAAAATTTTAGTTTTTGAAGCTGTGATATGTCTTTTACTTAAAAAAAGTTTGAAATTTTGTGAGTAGAAATGAAATTTCTTCAAAAACAGATCAAATTTCGATAGTTGAAGGTAAAATCTATGGGTGACTGCTAGCTAAGTCCATTGTTGATTGTTGAAACAGGTAATTTTACTAGGTAGCTTAAATCATAGCAGTTGCTGAAATTTCTGTTGTATACCGGGTAACTTTCATTGCCATGAAAGTTGCAATGTGTTTGTTAACAAATTTGAATACACATTTTATTGTTTTCAGTACTAGGTTCTGGCCAAGGTAAAACACATGCCTTCAATGATAAGCATTTTTTTGAACTAGCATTTGTTTCTAGTTGAAGTTATCTCTCTATAAATTGGTCAGTGTATAGGATGGGTTTTTCTTCAATAGTGATCCAACATTTCTAATACGATCATAATTTTCGCTGAATGGGATGACATTGTCGCAATGTTACAAAAACTACACATTAGAAATCCTGTTTATCATAAAAAAGGAATACTGAAAGCAAAAATCACAATGGTCCTAACTAACACCTTAAATCCATCTAGGTGAGAATCATAATCAAGTTTTCTTTTTACAAGAACTTCTGAGAAGAGCTTTTCTCCTTACCTTAACCTTTTTTTGTGGAGATAGAGAGTGTTTTTTGATAGACCTTTGGCTCAACTGTAGCAAATCAAAATGGTTATGAAAAAGACAATAGGATAGTGAATAAAACATGACAACTAATATGGAAAGCAGTACAAAACATTCAGTAACAACATCTTAATAATGCGGTAACAAAAACACAATCGATACAGAATGGTAACAAATATGAAAAGGACACTACATATGTAAGGCTAATACTATGACAAACAACGTACTTCCCTAATGCCATGTTATTTGCATCCCCACTACTCCCCCTGGCCCCCATTGCCTCAACTTCTCCCCTATCTCCGCGTTTGAGCGGGGTTTAAGCCATCCCGTTTGATCCTCGACTGGTCAAACCAAGTCTTCTTCTTCCTCTTCCTCTTGATCTTCAAGTCCATCACCATAAGCTTATGTTGGACAGTTGGGTAGTAGGATTTCACTCGGGATAACCTTGCAGTCCTTACAAATGCCTCTATCCTCGTTCCTTAAAGAGTAGGTAATCTATCTGAGTCTTAGCCACCACAGTACTGGAGGTAACCAAGTGATCCTCCTTCTTCGAAAAGTTCAAATTATCATGTTCTAAAAATTTGTAAGTGAATGTGTTAAAATCTCATGTATCAAACTACTGATTATATACAGCAGCGGATCTGCTGACACTTACAAAAGACAACAGAGCTTTACACAAAGCAAGTTCACAAGCCAAAAATGCTTAATTTCTTGTAACATTGAACAAAACTGTGACTAATTGGTGTCTAATCTAAAATGGTACCAAAATCGCCTGTTTGACATCATAGACATTGGAAACGGAAGGCATACTCAGCTTGACCTTGACTCTACTTCTTAACAACTATAAAGAATAAATTGCATGCCTAGAAATGGGATTAATGTAGGCAGCATTTGTTTCTCAATTCACAAAGTTGTTTAGTTAAGTGTCAAAAGAGATTGTTCGGACGACTAGCTTTCAATGGCATCCCGAAGTTTTGATAGACTCTGATTTCCCCTCCCGAGCTTGCTGTCACAATTACCATGCCCCATGCTGTGGATTGGATAATGTTATTTCCTTGGTTGTTGCTACCATCAAACCTGCTGGAAGAAGACACAGAAGGTGAGTCGCCATCTCTGATCGATGGAGAACTCGATGAAAACGATTCACTAGCACCAACTCCAGGATCTGTTGGAGATTCTTGAGCTGAGTCCTCATCTTGACAAGTTTGGATTTTTTCCGCTGCACTGTTTTTCTTTGCCGGCAGAGGTGGTAAATTCCTCTTGCTATTTGCACCAGCCGAGTTGTCTTCCCTCGTGGGAGAGCCACTGATGGGAAGTGGAGGTGGTGGGGAACGTTTCGAATCCCTTCTTGAATGTATCTGATCTGCAAGTGGTGGCTGATTCTTTATACTGCCAGGCCACGTGATGGCAACTGAAACATCTTTACATGGGAAGTGCTCGTACGATTGAACATTTACTACACTTTTAGTTTTACTAGTTGCACTTTTAGGTTCTTCTCTCTTCCAGATATACACTTGAGAGTCTTCACTTGCACTTACGATATACTTCCCATCTTGACTAAATGTAGCTGAAATTTGGCTGCTTGTATTCCGTAAACCTGATGCAAGATAATAGATCCACAGTTTATGTACACAATAACCTATGTCAAGCTCTCCAAGTGATTATATTTTAGGGAAAGTACCTTTAAATTTATGGGTCATTTCCGATCCATCAAAAATTCTGACACGTGAATCAGCTGAAGTTATAAGCACTTCTGCTGGATTCCCTGGAGCAAACTGGACATGAACAAGTTCAGGTCTTAGATAGGTCTCCTGCAAAATAAGGTTACCTAATGAATAGTTGATATAGAAAAGAGAAATACCTGAAAACCAGTGACTTTTTTGGCTAGGGACTTCTTTTTGGGTTCGAGTTCAAAGCTGTCCTTTTGTTCCAGCTTGCATTCTAAATCACAAACACGTCGGAAGTTAGCATTCACATTTCTCTGCAGATTATCATTTTAATAGAAACCTATGCAATGATTTACTTACCAGAGGTACTGTACATGCGACAGCTCCCTTTATGTGAGCCAATTAAAGCACCCTTCAACAATGGAAAAACAAAAAAAATATCAGGTGATACAATTCACCTTTTCTTAGAGAATCACAAATGTTCTATTTCTTTTGTTGATTCTTCTAATAAGTTGATTCTGAAGATAGTTGTGAATGCTCTCTAATATGACTACAATTGATGGTAAGTTGTTTTTGGCATGTCGGAAACCAGTAAAAGTTGGAGATATAACTACCTCGCCATCAGGAGAGTAGCAAGTAGCAGTAACCATTTCATGAAGATCTGTCCAGTCCACAACTTTCCGATCAGATACATTCCAAATTCGAACTTTTCCATCCAGTGAACCGCTGATAAAGTGGTCGCCATCTACTGGATTGAAGTGTATGCAGGTCACTGCCGCACAGAGATTCATCAGATGTAAAAATGTGTGATGGTAAATTTAACACGGGCGTTGATTGATGAGAAGCTACAATGTAACATGGTATCTCACCATAATCGTTATGTGCAAACATTTTTAAGCAGCTCTGAGTCTCGATATCCCATAGCCTGACTGTCTTGTCCATTGAGGATGAAAGGAGTTGCTGCATCAAAATTTCATCTAGCATGTCAAGTCAAGATTTCACTGGAATAATCTCCTTATCAGATATTTCCTTCTTGTTCAGCAATTGATATTTTATCTCACTCCATTTCGTTTTATATGATGTAGTTTGACTGTTGTGGAGTTATATAAATAAAGAAATACCTTTGACACGTATCAGTAGTGTGTAAATGCACATCCCTATGTCTATAAGAGCATGTCATTAAGGATAATATGAATTCTTAGAGCTAAGTTTATTGTAAATATAGAAAGGTATCGTTCTTTTTGGTACAGATTAGAAGGAAACGGAGTAGTAAACTGATACGAGCATGAAAACTGACCTGAGAACTTGACCAAGATAGGTCCAGGACATCATCTTGATGACCACTGAAAGTGCATACTGGTTTGTCTGAGAGAGCAAATACAATTTCAGGTACATTTACATACTCTGGAAGTGAATTTCCCTTCTTCTTATTAGAAGTCTTCCCCTTTTTCCTTCTTTCTGATTGCATATTAGTCATAACTGGCAGAGGTGGACGATCCAAATTACTACCAGCCATTGGTGTGTCACTGACAGAATTCGGATCATCGGATTGTTTTGTAGACATAACATCACATTCTTGCACTTCCCATACATGAATCACCCTGTCTTCCCCTGCAGTTGCTAGATACCGACCATCAGCGGTGAATCTTATGGTCCATATGGAGCCTTCATGAGCTTGAATTTCCTGACACAATTGCAAAGCTGTGAATTCTTTGTGAATCTTTCCTTGCTGCCGCGCTTTAATCCATTGGGAGGAATTCTGTTTCTGTTTCTGTTCCACTAGTGCAGGTATCTCAATTTCTTTATCAACTTTTGACATGCTCATACTATTTGCAACTCCTTTTATGTTCTTCAATAGAGCAACTCCTGTTTTCTTGCTATATCTGAAACTCTTGCTGAGATATGCATTTACGTTAAGTTTTCTTTCATCATTTGTTGAAACATTTGCACGGCGCATCAGTTCCTTAACAACAGGTGAGTATCCCACAGATTTCTCAAATTCCTCCATGGAAAGTTGCTTCCCTGTTTGTAGATCACTGAGCTTATTCCACATTCCCTCTTCATTGGACTCTTTAACAATGAATTCATTTCCAGTGTCCAGATTTTTTATCAGGAAAAACGAAGCAAATCCCGAATCAGCATTTCCATTTGGCAATGTGGATGATGGTGTTTCACCTCCATTTTGTGGTGATGTAGATTTACGTGTTCCCTTTTTATGCGGCACCATTACAGCAGCAGAATTTGTATACTGGCATATTCTTGTAGCTGGTCCTAAAACTCCTGAAAATGTCCTGGTAAGACGTTGTTTAGAAACGTATCCGAGTAACTGTTCTTTCCTTTTCTTGGTATTTACAGAGAAAAACTCTATGTCACCATCTGATCTCGACCTGAGCAGCAAAATTGGTGGTGAATTCGAAGCCTCTGGCTCTTGTTCTTGTTCTTCCTCTTGTTTAATTAGCTCTTCCTTGGAAGAACTAATCTCAACTTTTGGTATGGAGGAATCTTGACATGTATCAACTTTTCTTGAAATGGCTCTCACAACTTTAGCACTTGTTAGCTTGAGGAGTTCCTTACTACTTGTCAACCCCATTCCCTGGAGTAAGCGTTTTCGACGCTCTTTTACATCTCCTGGTTCAGCCATCCACATGCCGTAGTCTTCCATGACAATAGGAGGAGGTGGAGACGGAGAAGGATTTGAGATGGAGACGGTTTTTGTTTTCGCTGTCCCCATCTCAAGGCCTCGGAAAGTATTCTTGATAGAAAGTGAGGCCGAGAAGGAACGTCTACTATCCTCAAATTCGACCTCATCATCTGATCCCGAGGACGCCAAGTCTTGGGGAACGACCGTGGAAAGGCGGTCGTGGGACTCGAAGAAGTGATCATCGTCATCGTCTTCTCCGAGACCATCCCAGTTTATAGTCAGCGTCCTGCGATACATTGTAAGAACATTTAAGAAAATCAAAGGAAAGACGGCATGTTAGATGGAAATTATTGTGTTGTTGTTGTTGTTGTTTTGTTTGTTTGTTTGTTTGTTCATCATAGAAAATTGCTACGGAGAAGAGAGTGGGGAGAGAAGTGGAAGAGAGAAAAAGAAGGAAAAAAAAGTAGTTATGTTTGTGTAAAGGAAATTGGATGGATTGTGAAGAGGGAAAAGGAAATGGTCAATGGAGAGTCTTTTAGTTCTCCTCACGTCTATGAGTATCATGTTACCACTCTTTGTTGTCTTTTTTTTTCTTCTTCGATTTTGATATCTATTTTGAAATTTTGATTAATTTGGATTCACACCATGTAAGACTCGAATCACTTCTGATTAAACAAGAAAAGATCTTTCTCTATCTAATAAAAGTGGACGGAGGTTATATTATTTTTCGGCTAATGAAAGTCATGACTTTTTCCACTGTATCAAAAAGTCATCACAAATATTAAATTGAATTTGGCATTTGACTTTAATCATTTGAGAGGCAGAAGGGAGTTCCACCTTGGTAAAAACTTATATGACACTTATTATTATCTTATATAAATAATTCTTAATTATCTTATGTTATCAATTAATTAATTATACATATGTAATACTCTTCTCTAATTTCTTTGACCCTAATGGACAGTTCACATTCGTATGACTATATATCGGAGAAAATGACAAAAATAGTCTCTAAAGTATGTTTTAAATAGTTTTGACTTTTTTTTTTCTCCATCACATATTTAACGGACTCTGTCGGTTAGATTTATAAAAATTGTTACAAATTAAAAAGGATTTAGCGAGAATTTACATTTGAAGGTATAATAATTTTAATCTCTTTATATAGTTTGGTCTAATTTTTTCGGTGCAATTTCTGTTAATTTTGGTGTCTGATACAATTTTTTTATATTACAGTTTATAGAATTTGATAGGACCTTTTTTAGTGTTTTTTTATTAAGTTAGTGTTATATTCCTTATTTCTATATTAGTGTTTTTGTCCCGTCAAATTAGCACACAAAATTCATTAAATATTTGACGGAGATAAAGCTACTAAGTTTTGATAAACTTAAAAGTCGAAACTGTTTTAAACATAGTTTAGGGACTATTTTAAATCTGATCCAAATACAAGAGACCATTTTTGTCATTTTCTTCTCTCTCAAAGTGCTTAATTTGGTGTCATGTCTTTATTAATCTCTTAATTAACGCTTTTAAATTAGGTAGATTATGTAAGATTGGAGTGTGTGGAGGACGCAGTCACGCAGATTAGGTAAAAAGTTAGTAGGCAGTGAAGTGTTGTCTTGCTTTTTCGAGGGTTTAGGTGATTGTCGTCGTACTAGCTGTAATATTGTAGTCGGTTGTTTAGTGAGTTTTGATTGTCGCACTATTTTATTGTTCTTGTTCCTTTGTTGCAGGATATACACTGCTTTCCTTGTTAGTTGCTATATTTTTTATTTAATATTTTTTTATTAATTATACTTGGATTTGCTACATTTGAGCTGAGAGTCTTTCGAAAATAGTCTTTCTACCTCTATTAGATAGTGATAAGGTCTGCATATATTTTATCTTCTCCAGACCTCATGAAATTCCACAGAATATGTTGTTGTTACGTAAGAGGGGATGGAAAAGGTCAATGAAGGATCTCTTATTAGTTCTCATTACTCCCCTCACGTCTATCCGGCATAGTAGTAATAATCCATTAGTTGTCTAAGTTATTAAGTAATTCTCCACTGTATATATTATATTTCTTACTGATCCATTTGGTGCTAAATTATTATTACCTCCTCCTACATAAAGGCAAGCCTGGGAACACAACTTCTTTGTAGTGTTAGGATTTCTGAGCCTATGTTGCTCGAACTCTAACTTTGTACTATTGGATTTTTGAGCCTATGTTGCTCAAACTCTTCAAAAGTTTTATTGGGTGTGTGCGGATCTTTATGAAGAATAGTTTTTGGAACTTTGAAAGAAATGAGAGAATTTAATCTTGAACTAAATATCATACTTGAGTCATTCAACTCATTTCAAATGAAATATTAAGGGAAAGGTCTCGATGTAAATGTAATGAACATGAAATTAAAAGTTGTGTTCAGGTAAGCTTGCACATGTTTGTTGGAAATGTTACCGCTAGAGAAAATATGTGTTTACTCGAATCATGAACTGATGTTCCAGCAATGCAAGGATTCCAAGCAAACCAAGGTTAGTCTGAATACTTTCGAACGATACATTGAAAAGATTTCTACAGAGGCAAAATATTCCCACTTCTTTTCTTTTCATATTATGGAGTTCTTATTTCAACATCTCTAGTCACAATTATTTTTAATTCTACAGACTACAACAAAAGTCTTCTTATAATTAATCATCAGAAAAATATACAATATGTATTACAAAGTTACAATTGATATTTAGAGAAGTTTATTATTTTTCTATATAGTCATAACATTTGGAATGTAGTTAATTTTCTTTTCAAATTTGAGCTTTTTAGTTAAAAGGCTACACAATTTTATTTAATATTTTAGAATTTTAAATTAAACCTCTTAAACTTTTATTGTCTGTCAATAAGATTTTTTAGAACAAGAACTAAGGAATTGTGTTGCAACAAATTAAATTAGTAATATTTTATTAACTTAAAAAGAATTTTTTCCAAGTTATATAAATAAGATATATATTGACTCATTGCATAATAAATTATAAAGACATATGAATAACTATTTATATAATGAAAATAAAGCTTTGGGACCTTAAATATTTGTCATCTATTGGTGCAAGTTGCAACTATATATATATCAATCAAAAGATGGGTATAGAAGAAAGATATAAAACAGACAAATAAACTTTTAGTAATACTAATATCCCAATTTACTTTCAATTTGCCCGTGGAGAAAGAATCAAGTTCGAATTCTTTGGAATGATACATTGAAAAGATATCTACGAAAACAAAATGTATAAGTATGTTTTTGACATTGTTAAAAATATAAATAATACTATATTGACTTTCAATATATTAGCTCATTGTGTAGGATGGTACACCTTAAAAATCTTGTACAATTACAAGCAACTGATTGAATATAGCACCACAAATATTCTTGGCGAAAATGAGAGAAAAGAATTAATGACTAATCATTAGAATGAAAACTGTCATTGCAAGAAATATGTAGTCACACGTGTTATTCATAATTAAAATAAATTATAAAAGAATTGAAGGTGAAAGTGTTGACACTTCCACCACAAATAATCATCTTACAAGATATAGAAATTAGTCAGTCATTCGTGTGTTTATATTCAGACTTAAGAAAATACTAAATCTGTGAAAATATTTCAAATCCTTAACCCTTGCCTCAGGATAATTTTTTACTATCGATACCTTGATTCTATAGCAAATATTTACCATTTAACCGTCGCTTGACTTTTCTTAATAATTTGTACTTTGACATAGTCACAAATTTACAAATATATATTGTAGAACAACATAATATATTTTTTAGAGACCACAAAACAAAAAATGATATTAATCTGATATTTGAATGTCACGATCCAGACCATCATGATTGCCACCCACACTAACACTTCGGTGGGAGAACTACTACTACAACCCCAATCAACAGTGGCGTAGCGAGGAATTTTATTAAGGGGGGGGGGGTCCTAACTTTGAATAGTAATTTTATTTTTAAAAAACGATGATTTATAGAGATTCTATTTTTAATAATATTGTGATATAATTTGGGTAAATTGGTCTCTTATTTATAGAGAAAGAAAACCTTATTCCAAAAGGAAA